TATATATATATTAGTTACACACACACACACACACACATATTCAGTATATCCTCACATGAGTGTCTTAAAAGAAAATGTACTTTTCTATTTGTTGATTAATGAATATCTTCAGTTGAATTATAAATTTGCTTCATGAGAAAGTCTAACACTGATATCATTTTTTCATAGGTGATAAATGTGATGTTACCCTTGAAGTTTTAGTGGATAAGCGGACTGCAGCCCAACTGAATTCTGGTGCTGATAAATTATATGATATATTGGTGCTTCATTTAGAGGGAGGAAAAGACCTCTTTATTACAATCACAGGTAAGATTTTTTTCCGCATTTGCTAGGAAAGGTTTATCCTTATTTTATAAGAATGATGCTGACAACAGCACCAGACACATTGTCAAATGATAATTTAGCATGTTCTTTTAATCATTTAGTACATGTGAGAGTTAAATGTTATAGGTGGCAAGGAAAAATACCTTATGGTAATGCTTTGGTTAAAGGGGCTGTTGTGCTGAATTTTCAACAAATATTTTCAAAAATTCTCGAAAACTTGAAAAAAAGTCTCCTGTAATTTAGTAGGCTTTGACAATCCTGTGATGTAATATTTCTGCTAATTACCTAAAAATGAAGGAGTTATGACTAAATCTTTGACTGCCTCCAGCTCTGGCTCCGATGATTACTTTGTCGTGTCCGTGCAAATATACTCAACAATTTTTTTTTTTTTTTTTTTTTTTTTTTTTTTGGGGGGGGGGGGGGGATTTTTTGGTATTTATTTTAGTATTCTCTGGTAGCTAGCAAGCAATTCTGCTTCCCAAATCAGCTGATAACCACAACTAAGAGACAAGACTGGCAGTCACCACAAGAGAGTCAGAGGGAGAGGCTGTGCATGTGCTGCCTCTGCAACACCATCCCATAGATGTACCCCTGATGCGCCCTCATCACACACTAAGAGGAAACTACTAATGATGCATGTTATTCCTATAACTAATAAACATAATATGATGAGAAATGCATCTCAATCTCAGCTGCAGCAGTTGTTTATTCATATGAAATACCTCAAAGTACTGTAAAGGGACTGCGAAACCTGTGATGACACGCAGTATTTCTACAATCATGTGCAGTTACTGCTATTAGTACTTTGCAAAAGGGGGGGGACCAGATACTAGCTACACTTCAGAATACCATGTGAATGCCATAGAATGCATCAGGATTGACTCAGATTTTTTTTTTTTTTTTTTTTTTTTTTTTTTTCAAAATCTTGTCTTTTTTAAATAACTTCATTGTTTATTATCCAAATGATAGGAACTTGGTGGCGTAAATTGTAGTATATGTATGTATAACATATTTAAAAATTGCAAAAATCTGATCATAATTCACGAACTTCGTCCTCGAGTGCGACAGCCCCCTTAACTCATTCACAGTAGTTCCCTTGGAATGCAGTTCTCCCTCATTTCTGGGTGCTATTTATATCAGTGAGTGTATGCTGCCAAGGACTGGCACACATGCCAAACACTATAGGCATCCCATTGGAGTATAAAACTCTGATTTTACACCTTGTGCATGAACTTCTTGTTCAGCTAGGCTGTACCTCACACTGAGGGATGGCTAAGAGTTATTGATCACTGTAGATGAGTAACTAGGAGACTCCTCTCAGCAAGTTTGAGGCAACTCAATAGCAAACAAAGATTGTAGACACTCCTGTATATACAAGAAAATTCCTGTGCTTTGACCTGGCAAAGAATGTGAAAGCAATGATGATGACCATGCATGCACTGGTCAGTTGTAATATTGTAAGTGTTGTTATTATGGTGTTGTAGTCATCGAAAAAGGCTGTATCAACAATACATATATTGGTGTTGATATTGCTTTATCTGTCTTTAAAAAATCAATGTACCAGAATCGCCTTAGCTAATTTTCCAGTATCGGTGAATCAGTATCACCTTAAACAGTTTTGTGTATCGAGGCCCATCACTGCACGCGCACACACACACACACGCATGCACACACACTTACACACACACACTTACACACACACANGGAGAAGAGGAGGAGAGAGAGGAGAGAGAGAAGAGAGAGAGAGAGAGAGAGAGAGAGAGGAGAGGGAGAGAAAGAGAGAGAAGAGAGAGACGAAGAATAGACAGGAAAAGAGAAGAGAGAGAGAGACGAGAGAGAGAGAGAGAGAGAGAGAGAGGAGAAGAGAGAGAGAGAAGAGAGAGAGAGAGAGAGAGAGAGAAGAGAGAGAGAGAGAGAAGGAGAGAGGAGAGAGAGAGAGAGAGAGACGAGAGAGAGAGAGAAGAGAGAAAGAGAGATGAGGAGAGAAAGAAAGAGAGAGAGAGGAGAGAGAGAGAGAGAGAGAGAGAGAGAGAGAGAGAGAGAGAGAGAGAGAGAGAGAGAGAGAGAGAGAGAGAGGAGAGAGAAGAGAGAGAGAGAGAGAAGAGAGAGACAGAGACAGAGAAAGAGAGAAAGAAATAAAGAAAGAAATAGAGAAAAAAAGAAAGAAAGAGATAGAGAAAAAAAGAAAGAGAAGAAGAAAAAGAAACAGAGAACAGAAGAAAACTAATCCACACAACTTTTGCCTAACACAACCCACAAACCCGCAACCTCATATGCAATAATCCTGGCAATAACATAATCCAATCTTGCATTTCCTTTGCAACCTCGACATGATAATCTCGGGGGCTCTTTAAGCTTGTTGACATGAGTGCAAGTTGCATCTACGAATTGAAAGCGAGATGTTTTAATGAATCGCAAATTACCTTGGCTGGCGCTCTCTCCGTTACTCTTTGGGTTGTTGTTGTTGTTTGTTGTTGTTTGTTATTGTTTTTGTTGTTGTTGGTTGTTGTTGTTGTTTTTGTTTGTTGTTGTTTGTTGTTGTTTGTTTTGTTGTTTTTGTTGTTTGTTTGTTTGTTTTGTTGTTGTTGCTATTGTTGTTGTTTTTGTTGTTGATGTTGTTAACAGTAAGAATAATAATGGTTATGCTAACAACAATAATGATAATGGATAACCATAATAGTGATAATAATGGTAATAATGATAATAACGATAATAATGATAATAATGATAATGATGATAATAACAATGATAACATCAACAATAATAATGATAATGATAACAACAACATAATAATAATAATGATGATAATAATGATAATAATAATAATAATAATGATAATAATAATGATAATAATAATAATAATAATAATAATAATAATAATGATAATAATAATAATAATAATAATAATAAAATAATAATAATAATAATAATAATAATATTAATAATAATAATAATAATTAATAATTAATAATAATAATAATAATAATAATAATAATAATAATAATAATAATAATAAATAATAATATAATAATATAATAATAATAATAATATAATAATGATAATAATGATAATAATGATATAATAATAATAATGATAATGATAACAATAATATAATAATATAATAATAATAATAATATAATAATAATAATAATAATAATAATAATTAATAATAATAATGATAATATAATAATTAATAATAATAATAATATAATAATAAGAATATTAATGATATTGATAATAATGATAATAATAATAATAATAATAATAATAATAATAATAATAATAATAATAATAATAATAATAATAATAATAATAATAATAATAATAATAATAATAATAATAATAATAATGATAATAATAATAATGATAATAACAATAATAATAATAATAATAATGATAATAATGATAATAATAATAATAAATAATAATAATAATAATAATAATAATAAATAATAATAATAATAATAATAATATGATAATAATAATAATAATAATAATAATAATAATAATAATAATAATAATGATAATGGATAATAATATAAATAATAATAATAATAATAATAATAAATAATAATAATAATAATAATAATAATAATAATAATAAAATAATAATAAATTAATAATAATAATGATGATAATAATAATAATATTAATAATGATAATAATGATAATAACATAATAATAATGATAATAATAATAATAATAACAATGATGATAATAATAATAATTAATAATGATAATAATAATAATAATGATAATAATAATTAATTAATAATAATAATAATAATAATAATGATAATAATAATAATAATAATAATAATAATAATTGATAATAATGATAATAATAATAATAATAATAATTAATAATAATAATAATAATAATAATAATAATAATAATAATAATAATAATAATGATAATAATAATAATAACAGCGATAACACAGCCATCAAGAAGACACTCCCACGCATACTCATCTCCTGAGAAGATCCATCTTATCGTCTCATCATCACCTGGATCGAATCATTAATTATGCCAACCTCCATCGCTCCCCTGTAATTAGTCATGATAATTAACGACAATATATCACTTGGGGAAAAAATATAGGTATGCAAATTATATCTGATGTTCTCTGTTTCCCTCCATTTCCTCTCTTTCGTGGGCGGGGAGGAGAGCAGACACCCCCTCTGTTCCTCCCTCCCTCCCCCCTCTCCCTTACCCTGTTTCTTTTTTCTCTTTCTCTTAATTCCTTCTTTCGTTTCTACTTTGTATGTCTTCCTCATTTCGTGTTTTTTTTCTTTCTCTTTTTCCCTCCTTTCGTTTCTACTTTATATGTCTTCCTCATTTCGTGTTTTTTTTTCTTTCTCTTTTTCCCTCCTTCGTTTCTACTTTATATCTTCCTCATTTCTTCTTCTCCTCCTCTTGTATTCCTCATTTCATACCCAGATATTTTTTTTTCTCGTCTATCTATTTCTATCTTCGTTATTCCTTAAAATATATATTTCCTTATCCTTCTTCTACCGATCTACCCCTCAATTTTCTACCTATCTACCTCTCTCTCCTCCTTCCTTTCCTTCCTTCCCCATCCTTCCCTATTCCTCCACCCGTCTGTCCATCTATCCCTCTTTCCTTCTTAACAATTCCCCTTCACCCCATTCCCTATCCTCCCCCTTCACCCTATCTCCCTATCCTCCTTTTTTTCTCCCCATTCCCCCTTCACCCTATCTCCTATCCTCCTTTTTTCTCCCCATCCTCCCCCTTCACCCTATCTCCCTATCCTCCTTTTTTCTCTCCATCCTCCCCCTTCACCCTATCTCCCTATCCTCCTTTTTTCTCCCCATCCCCTTCACCCTATCTCCCTATCCTCCTTTTTTCTCTCCATCCTCCCCCTTCACCCTATCTCCCTATCCTCCCCCTTCACCCTATCCTCCCTCATCCCCCACTCTCTCCCCATCTCCCTCTCTGCCCATTTAACTCACCCCTCCCCACCCACCTCCACCCTGCCTCCCACCCTCTCCCGCCCACCCAAGCGTACCCGCCCACCCCTCGCTCTCGTACCCATACCCGTCCAGATGCCCCAAATGCCCCATTGCGGTCGCACGCACCATGGAGCGAGCCGGGAAGACGCTGCGGAGACCAATTCATCTTGTACTTAATAACATCAAGATACGAAAAAAAAAAAAAAAAAAAAAAAAAAAGGAAAAAAAAAAAAAAAATATTCGTTTGGGGAAATAAAAGAATTAAAAAAAAAATATTCGTTTGGGGAAATACTTCTCGATGGATTGCGTTCTGAGATGACGGTTAAACGTTGTTTTCCCCCCACTGAGTAACATTTTAGGTTTCATTGATTTTTGGTTAAGTAATGTTTGCAGAAATGGAAAGAAAGATATGTACTTACATCCATATACGCGCGCGCGCGTGTGTGTATGTACATATAAATACTTAGAGAGAGAGAGAGAGAGAGAGAGAGAGAGAGAGAGAGAGAGAGAGAGAGAGAGAGAGAGAGAGAGAGAGAGAGGAGAGAGAGAGAGAGAGAGAGAGAGAGAGAGACAGACAGACAGGCACCAAGAAAGGGAGTCAGGGAGGAGGAGAAAAAGAGACAGACAGACAAACAGAATGAGCGAGGGA